TATATATATATATATATATATATATATATATATATATATATATATATATATATATATATATATATATATATATATATATATATATATAAAAGCTTTACTTACACGTGCATCAAAAGAGAGATACAATTTCATTCAAAGGGATGCCGAACCTATGTTCTACAGAAAATAAATGCTCGGAGGCACAGAAAAAGGGGGATGAATAGATTTCGATAAGGAGGCAAATGACACGTGCATCAATTATCCTTTACGCGACCATGAATGTTGTGCGTGTGAGGATGAAAACATACCTCCTGGCTGCGGTTGGTGGCAGAACTGACGACGCTTTACGAGAAGTCTACACAATGTGTCGAGCACACCAAACAGGATTAACTCATGACATGAACAGCACATAGAACACATGAGATTTCATTTTCGGCAGTAAGGAAGAACTGTTCAAATATTACAGGATCATTCACAAAAACAAAACTATTACAAGGGTCAACAAACACCAAATAGTGTTTAACTCATGACATTAACAGCACATAGAACATATGAGATTTCATTTTCAGCAGTAAAGAAAAACTGTTCCAATATTACAGGATCATTAATAAAAACAAAACTATCACAAGGGTCAACCAACATCAAATAGTGATATAATACAAACATGAAATATCCTCAAGTAATGGTTCCAGTGGTAATGACCCTATACCCTTCAAATGCACATGAATTTAACTCATTGACATCTTAATGATAAAAATTTTATTTTACCTATTATTGCATGCAACCTATAAATGGAAAAAGAATAGGAATAAATATCAATTGGCTGTGGTGCTTGACATATGAGATCCTAAAATATAACTCTGTATCGGTAGTAAGTCAACCAAATCCGTGGAAGCCAACAGAAGTGTAGGCATTTGAAAGTCCTGGTAATTTTAAGACAGCAAAAATGCCAGCTGCACAAGAAAAGACAGAAGCTAAGGCAAAAGCAGGGATGTTCCCTCCCCCGAAGAGGGCGTCCCAAGGCCCTGCACCGATAGCTACAATCATCTGTACACAAAATGCATTTAGTTAGTACACACTACAGAACATTATCAAGAACACACATATTTTTTCAAAAGAAAACTATTTACTGGAAAATATGTATAAGTAGACATATAGCGGCCACACAGTAAAGGTGTCTCGTGGACACGTATCTTTCTAAAATTAATTCCCTTTTCAGTAATTTGCCACTCTGTCCTGTATATTTACAGATTGCTTATATGAGCTACATGGTAATTTGAATGCATAGTTACTATCATAATTAAAAGTATAAATATGACCTACTTTTGAATGTTTTATTTTAGTTGTCCATCAGAGATTCTTTTCACCATATCTGAAATTCTTTCCAAATTTTATTGGAAACATGAATAGAACAAAAAGTCATAGATAACATCCCTTTAATATCTGATGGGTTAATCATAAATGTCAGTCATAAAAACTCACCCACCCAATCAATAAGGGCACTCACTAAATCTGTTAATACACAAAATTGTAAAGCATCTATAGATGCTTTCCATTATCTCTTCCTTCCAACACAGAACATTGTAAAATTAATTGATTCACTTTGACATATATCTAGCTTCACTCTTGCCATCTTATTACCAAGTGAGAGCATCTTCATACTCTTTAAGTAATTATGGCAACTAAAATTAGCACTTTACATTTGCACAATTTGCAAATTTTGAAATAAAAAAATATAAAGCATTTCTGCTACAAACCCTTGTGCAAAGGTTGCTCACTTAATGTAATTTCCCCGATACGACAACATAACTACATAAGTACACAGACACAAAAGAAAAAGCCTCATGAAGTTCTGAAAGATGATTGCTCAATGAATGAGAAATAATTATTCTAAGAGACAAAGAAAACATTTATGCCTTAAAGAAAACATGTACAAGAAGTGTTGGGTGCACTAGATGAATTTATGGGAGTACTTGTGAAGTTATTCCAGCCAAAAAGTGAAAGAAGCTTCGTTGGTTAAAAATGAATTCTTTACCCATTCAACATTCAAAACGTATCAAAAAGATGCAAATAAATAAAGAAACAAACCAACTTGAGGAATGACGATCGCAAGATTCAGAACTCCAGTAGCCAGTCCTGCAAAATACATGTCAATTAGAAGAGATGTAACACAAGTAAAAAGGTAATACCAAGTCAGTGCAAACTGACCTTGTCCTCCACCTGAGCCAGCAGTCAATTCTGCTGTCACAGAAAATGGAACACTATACGTAATCTGCCACATAATAAAAGTAGAATGCTTTTTAATCAGGAAGTGCAGATTATAGATTTATATGGCTATGAAGATTGATGCTTACAGCTAGAGGAAACCCGAGAACTGAAAAGATAACCAATGCTGCCACCTTAATGGCCTTATTTCCTCCAAGGACATGTTGAATTCCATTAGAGTATTCACTGATAGACAACAAGCTTATGACTGTAGTAGCTGCCATACAAATAAACACGGTAAAGTTGCTCATTGCCCACACTAATCTTGCACCCATTTTCCGGCACATTGGATCAATAAAGAAAGAGCTAGCTCCAAGAACAACCTGTTGGAAGTAAAATCTTAGTGAAAAGCTTACTTTCAAAAGCATAGATATGTCTTTCAATAATGTTTGATCACACAAATAACATCACATATACACCCGGTTGTAGAATTACATGGTGAACCATCCTTATCAAGCTAAAATTCAGGTGCTACAACAAGATTTGAATGGTCTTAAGTATTTCTAGACTGCAGACCTTAAAAACCATTCATGCATTCAAGCAGATTGTATCATGTCAGCAAAGCACAAGGGATCTGTCCACACCGTGCCAGTGTAAAGCATGCACCAACTCTTACTAGTTTAACATGGGCTTTTGCCACACTGTGCCAGCTCATGTCTATCATGGACTTGCATGAGGTGGTTTGACCAGCATTATAATATGTATTTTATGTATGTATGTATGTATGTTGAATCACAACAAACTTACTGAATTCAGTAGCAAACCGAATGCACCTTCTCTGACGCCATTTTGATAGTCAGCTTGTTGGGTTGTATCCCCATTTGGATTCCCATGGTATACTTCTCGTCCCATCCAATCGGTATCAAAAAGGAAGAAGGGGAACCACGACAACTACATATGCGAGAAAAAAAAAAAAAAAAAAAAGCCAATCATGGAGGAAATGAGAATCCAAGCAATCAGTTATAAGCCGACTCTGAAAGTAAAAGATAGCCATAAACATGTCAATTCCAAACCACATACCCAGGTAAGGGCCATGACAAGAAGCACAGAATGCATTCCAGGCGGCAGATGCCTCAAGCTT